TTTTTTTTTGAGAAAGCAGGATTTATTGAGAGGACAGAAAAGCTCCCACAGTGGGAAGGGGTTGCCCAACAATGATTTTAATCACACATTTTAGGGCGGGGGTCTCTAGAGCAGGCATTTATGTTTCCATGGTGTTGATCTTGCTTTGAAACATTTTCAGAGCAACTAAGATTCATATTTGATGTTCATGGAGTAGGCAGGGCAGGTGAGGACCTGAGACCCTAAACGCAGCACATGTGACACAGCTAACCAGTGGCAGGACTGGAATCCGGGACTCCCAGCTCCCAGCATGGCCTTCCGTCTACTGGACAAGACTGCCCCCAAAGAGGCTGGCTGTGGCTCTCGAGAGGAAACAAAACAGCTTGCTCGCAACCCAAGCCCACTGAGTGTGGGATGGCTCAGGGACTCCCAGGACGGGGCTGAGCCAGGAGGCCACAAGGATGAACCCAAGGAGGACTGTCCTCTGGCTGGCAACTCCCCCCAGAAAAGCTGGATGGCCCCTTCATGTCCTCTTACAATGGACAGGACGGCACACTGTGCACCAGTTCCCTTGTTAGAGAGCTACCAGACTGGCCAGCACATGAGGATCATGGCATGTACAGCTCTGCACAAGTCCAGAAGTCCCTTCTGGGGTGTGTGGTTCCTAGAGAGCAGGACTGGATGGGAGGCTCCGATTCTAAGGGCTGACTAGGGCTTACTGGGTTCATTAACTGGCAGAAGAGAGAGAAAGGTCTGCAGGCACCAGCAGGCACCCCCAACTCCCCGCCCATCCAGTGCCGGGCGAGTCCTCGGTCTTAACAGGTTGCCCACGGTGGACAGCCTGCCTTCTGTGCCGACCTGTGCCGCTCTCTGTTCATGGGAGCCCTCAACACAAGGGGTGTTTTCTGGGAGAGGAAGGGTGCCCCATCTGAAACAGAGTGGCTCTGTTGAGAGCCATCCTGCTTCAATGGCGCCTGTTTTCATTGGGCCCTCCCCGGCCAGGGCCGGGATGTAAGTCACAGTCAGGCCCATTCTGCCAATCAAGCCCACAGATGGCTGGTCACAGACCATGCCCTGTGCTTTGATTGAGTCCCTCCTTTCTGGGAGGTCTATGCTGGAGCCAAAGAAGAAAGAAAAAATTCAAGAGACTGGCAGCAGAGAAAGCCAACACTCCGAGCACAAGCCTGCCCCAGCTGCACAGGACGGCTCTGGGAAAAAAAGGCCCTCTGCCCCCGGGTAGGGAATGCTGGAGCAGGGGCGGGCTGTGTCTCTGGAGGAAAGGCAAGCACCCACATGGGACATGGTGCCTTTGACACCCAGACCCTGGGCTCTGCCACTGTCAGAAAGAAGGTTGAACCTGCCCCTGAGGAGGGTCATTCTGGTTGCCAGAGGCCTGCGAGGACTGGAAGTTCTGGTGGCTGACATGGTGCAGGGGCCCGAGAGAGCCGGGGCCAGGAGGGTGTCGCTTACCAGCTGACGCTGCTTGGGGGGCAGGGCGGGTGGCGGAGCCAGCTCCTGTGTGGGGTCAGCTGTGCTGAAGGAGTCGTTGAAGCCGTACACTTCCATGAGCAGCTGGTTCTTCTGCTGGTAGATGTGCTCGTTCTGTGGCGTCTGGTAGAACACGGAAGGCTGTGGTTCCGAGTAGTCCTCAAGCAGCTGCATGTAGGCCAGCACTGTGGGCAGAGGGTCAGGGCTGCGAAGGCTGCTGTGCCAGAGGACCCCCACACTGTCCCCCCATGGAAAGTATCTTGGGTGGGGGTGACTGGACAGAGCACAGGGGATCTCTAGGGCAGTGAAGACCCATTCTGGGGTGGTAGTGGACACACGTCCAAACCCACAGAACATACAACACCAGAGTGAGCCCTCACAAAAACTCTGGACTCTGATGAGGGCCGAGAAGAAAGGGGCCTTGGGTTTGACAGCAGAGATATAAGTCAGTGTGTGGTGGGTGCGGGGATGGCAGGTCCCAGCCACCTCCTGAGCTGGCACTTTCCCCTTGGGTCATGTCACAGGTGCCACAAGTACGTGCCAGGTGGAGCTGAGATTCAGATGCCAGGAAAAAGTGGCAAGAACCACTCTAGAAGGCTGGGTTTTGTATTTTCAAATAACCCCAGGCCAGGCTTGGTGGCTCAGCCTGTAATCCCAGCACTCTGGGAGCCAAGGCAAGGGGATTGCCTGAGCCTGCGGGTTCGAGACCCGCCCGGGCAACTTGGCGAGACCTCGTCTCTACAACAAATCAAGAAAAAAAAAAATTAGCCAGGTGTGGTAGCGCGTGCCTGTAGGCCCAGCTACTTGGAAGACTGAGATGGAAGGATCGCCAGGACCCAGCAGGTTGAGGCTGGGAGCGTGCCACTGCACTCCAGTCTGGGTGACAGAGTGAGACTCCAACTCAAAAATAAATAAAAATAAAAATAAATAAATAACCACAAAGTCAGGGGCTTCATTGGAAAACTAGTCAAAACGTGAAGCCAGTGTGAGGATGCTGAGCTGGGGAAGTCAGGTAGAGAGGCAAGGCGCTTCCCTAAGCTGCAGCTGGGGCCAGGACTACAGGAGATGCTGCATCTCCAGGAGTATCTTTCTGGTGGCCTCTATTGAAGGAAAGGGCTCAAAGTCGTTTTTTTTTGAGTCAGAGTCTCATTCTGTTACTTAGGTTGGAGCACAGTGGCATGATAACAGCTACCGTAGCCTCAACCTGCCAGGCTCTGGTGATTCTTCGGCCCCAGCCTTCCAAGTAGTTGGAACTACAGGTGTGCACCACCATGCCCAGCTCACTTTTTGATTTTTATTGTAGAAATGAAGTCTCACCAAGTTGCCCAGGCTAGTCTTGAACCCCTGGGACTCAGGCAATCCTCTTACCACCACCTCTCAAAGTGTTGGGATTACAGGCATGAGCCTGTAATCTTCTGAAAATAATGAGTAAGAATTTCTTATCAGCTCCAATGAGCATCAGATGGAGCTTAGCTGTGAAGATGGACAGGAAGAGACGGCTGCCCTGAGCAGCTCAAAGACCCCTTGAGCTTGTTCCACAATGCTTCCTCTTTAATGCCACACAGGCAGAGACACCAGAGGAAGCTGCAAGCATGGGAAGGTGACCCCAGCGCCCATTCACTGCTTGCTAACAAGACTAAACACGACCACCTCTACCTGACTTCCTGGGAACTGGGATCTCTTGAGGAGGTCTCTATCAGCTCCCAAGAACAGAGAAACAGCAGATGTTCCCAACCTTCTAGAAACATGGAGGACCCAGTTTATTTCAAAAGCAGCCTAGGGATGCTAGGGATGACGATTTCCTTTTTTTCCTCAAATAACTTTTTTTTTGGGGGGGGGAGGGGAGGGAGTGGAAGTCTCAGTTGCCCAGGCTGGAATGCAGAGGCATGATCACGTCTCACCACAGCCTCAACCTCCTGGGCTCAGGCAATCCTGCCTCAGTCTCTCAAAGTGCTGGGTTATATAGGCATGAGTCACCATACCCAGCTCCTCAAAGCAATTTTTTTGTGAGGCGTTTTCCACAGGGTCACAGAATGGAACTCTCCGAGGATCCCCTCAGAAAGTGAAGAGTAGACTGGAAGTGAGGACTGTACCTCAGGGTGCCTCACACTTGGGTTCTTTCACAGGTTTCAGAAAAGAGTATCCCTGCATGGGTAGGGGTTCACTACTGAAAACTGGATGGAATCTCATGGAAGGAGGGCTGAATCCCTTCCTCCTAGTTTGGAAGTATGACATGCTGAGACTACGCAAGTTGATTCTGAGTCCCTGATCTGTAACCCACTTGTTTGTTGATCTTGGGCAAGTGTTTGAGAGCTCTAGATCCTTTTTCTTTTCTTTTCTTTGTTTAGAGATGTGTTTTCTCTGAGCTCCTGGGTTCAAGTGATTCCCCTGCCTCAGTGTCCCGAATAGCTAGGATTACATGTGTAACTCACTGTACCCAGCTTCCAATCTCTTTATCTATAAAATGGGAGCTAATGCAGCCTGTCTTGCAGGCAGCTGCAAAACTACCTGGGGCAGGATATGTGAGGCTTTAGCTCAGAGCACGCCACACCTACAGCTCTCGGGAGTTTTTCAAGATTTGCAGGCACAGGTGCCACAGGCATTGACAAGTGGGCTAAAGCCTCAGAATGGGGCCTAAATTAAGAGACATTTCCAGCCACTTAAGACGGTTTGAAAGGACACAATGGCTCCCTCCCCTCCTTCTTTCTACAGACCCTGCGTGAGGACCACCGCCTACACTTGCTCTAGGAGCTGGAAGGGTAAGGCCCCTGGTACGTGGCTCAGATGACCTGTGTGGAAGGACGGAGGTGAGCCCGCCGCCCACATTAAGGTGGGTGAAGAGAAGGCCAGTGGCCCTTCAAACATCTTGCTGGGCAGAGGGAGAGGCACAGAAGGAGATGCTCCTGGCACTGCCAGCGCAGTCCCCTCCTTAGTGCCCTGATTTCCAATGAGCAAATGTACATGGCAGATGGGGATGACATCATCAGCCCCATAGAGCCAGCTCTCCCTCCAGCCAGGGACCACGCCACTGAGGCCATCACACAAGCTGGCGACACCCAGGGAGGAGCTGGGGACACATGATGACATCGGCAGTCTCTTCTTCTTGTGGCCTGCCCAGCTGGCCCTCAGGATGACCCTGTGGGGTTAGCCAAGCCCGGTCTTCCCTGCTCTGAGAACAGGGCCCAGTTCCAGACCAGGCGGCTCGGATGGTCTCATGTGGGAATCTGGAACAGTGATTCCTGTTCTACTCTGCTGGATGCTTCGGCTGAGGCCGGAAGTTCTGTGGCTTGGGGGCCAACGTGGTTATACACATCAAAACGGTGACAGCTGGTCTCCCAAAGAAAATCCGAGCAGGGCTACGCTAGTGAAGGGAGAGAGGGCAGGGGCAGAGGGGCAGCTCTTGATGGTGCGTGGCAGTTAGATGAGCTGGGAGACAACAGGATTCCCAGTGGAGTGCTTCTCAGTCATCTTTTCTTTGAGTTGAGTCTCACTCTCATCCAGGCTAGAGTGCAGTGGCATGCTCAAGTGACCTACTGGGCTCAGGTAATTCTTCTGCCTCAGCCTTCCAAGTAGCTGGAACTACAGACGCGAGCCACCACACTAGCCACCAGCTAGTTTTTTTATTTCTTGTAGAGACAAGATCTCGCCAAGTTGCCCGGGCTGGTCTTGAACCCCTGGGCTCAGACAATCCTCTCGCCTCGGCCTCCCAAAGTACTGAGATTACAGGTGTGAGCCACCCCGCCTGGCTCCTCTGTCATCTAAGGTCAAATTTACAGTTGGGAAATCTCAGCTCCACCCTGGGCCTCAATAACATCACACATTAAAATGTTTGTTCTAAGAGGTATCCTTGACTACTTCTGCCATGCAATCTCAGCTCCAAGTCATTCTGGGAGCAAGAACAGAGGACAGCATGCTCTCTACATGAAGAGCCTCAGAAACCACCGCAGGGTGCCAAATTCTGTTTAACCCAAAAGTTCACCTTACTCGATCCAGATGTAGCTGCATAAGGGACATGTGCTCTGCTCTGTCACTGTGTTCGGGCCTGAAAGTCAACTGGCAACTGTCCAAAGAGGACAAGCCCTTGGACTTCATGGACCAGGCCTGAGGTCTTAGAGGCCATAAAGGAGAGGTCTGCTAGTCAGGTTTTAAAAACGATCACACATGCTGGGTCCAATGGCTCATGCCTGTAATCCCAGCACTTTGGGAGGCCGAGGTGAGAAAACTGCCCAAGTTCAGAGTCAAAGACCAGCCTGGGAAACCTGGCGAGACCTTGTCTCTACAATCAATAAAAAAATTAGGTGGGCGTGGTAGTATTGCCTGTAGTTCCAGCTACCTGGAAGGCTGAGGAGGAAGAATCATCTGAGCCCAGCAGGTAAAGGATACGGTGGCCGGAAGTGTGCCACTGCATTCCAACCCGGGCAACAGAGTGAGACTCTGACTCAAAAACAACCAAAAAACAAACAAACAAAAATGATCACCCATGGCTTGGGCACATGGGTGATCCCACACTTTGGGAGGCCAAGGCAGGAGAATCTCTTGAGCCCAGGAGGTCAAAGCTGCAGCGCAGTGATTACGCCACTGCACTCCAACCTGGGTGACAGTGAGACCCCCGACTCAAAAAGATTAAATAAATAAATAAAAAATAAAGATCATCTGTAATGACAAAATGAGGCTCCCAGAAGTGTCCAGGCACCTGTAGCACTAATTTTTATGAAACAATGAGGCCACTGGTTTGATTTTAGTCTACTACTGAAATGAAGCACATTGTCATTTTAGGTTATAAAATGCACTTCCTGACAACAGCTCAACAAACGCTTACTGTGTTTGTTTTTCTTCTCTGGTAGAGGAGGTGGTTTTTCTGGGTCACCCGTTGATTCAGGAGCAGTGAAATCACCCACAAATTCGACAGGGGCTGAGGAGCCTCCTTGCTGAAAGGGGAGGATAGCAGCAAAGGGCGTGTAGGGGACGGACTGGATCGGGGCTGGGTTCTGCAGGTCATCCTCGGAGATGTTGTCATACTGCGAAGGGTGCCGCTCATAAGACACCCTGCAGCCAGAGCTGTCCGTGGTCTGCGAGGCCGCGCTCCTGCGCTTCTTCTCGGGGAGAGCAGGCGGCATGTCTGTCTGCTGCCCTGGGGCCAAGGGCCCCTCTGGCTGGGGACAGCTGCCCAGAGACAGCTGGAAGGGATGGCTGAGAAATGGAGACCCAGACTCCCCCAAGGACTCTGGCAACGGGCTAAGGTTACAGGCCATTTGCTGAGGTATCTGGTCTGCATTGGAGAGGTCTTGCTGGAGGAATTCATAGTCGGGATCATAGTGGTCTGCAATCACAACAGGAACAGAAGACCTGTTAGCCACGGGCCCCACAAATACAGACGGCCTCACCCAGCTTCATGTGTGAGGGCGTGACAGACACGTCTCTGCGCCTTATTTTATATTTATATTCTTAATTCTTCTCCCTGATTATAAAAGTAAGACAGATGGGAATATGGCTGTTTGCTATACTAGTCTTTGCATTTTTCTGCATTTTTTGAATTTCTTACTTGCGAGAAATAGAAATATATACAACCACTGTAGGAACCATGGCAAACTGTATCAAGAAAATAAAAATTCCACCATCTAACTATAATCTCCATTTACGTTTTGATGGATTTCCTTAAAAGCCTTTTTGCCTTGAGGATATCTTTTTAAAAAACCCAACTGCGGATACCATGTGAATGGTCTTGGACTTTTTCCGTTTGTCAGTGGGTCATAAGTGATTTTCAGTAGCTACGGATTATTCCACCAAATGAATGTCCCGTCAGTCATCTGGTTGTCTACCAATAAATCCTGCCATTACTGTCTGATTATGCTCTTAGGTCACATTCTCAGAAGTTAAGTAGCTCATTCATGGGACCCTAACAGTGAGCTGCTCTCTGCACCCCCTGCCAGCTGCCCTGCAGACCTGATGGGCCCACGTGACACAGGCTTAGCACCGACTGACGAGCCAACAAGAGGGCTGCCAAGCATGGCTCGCTGGCCTTCAGCTCTGTCAGATGTTGTGGGGCGGCCCCCTTCATTTAAAACTCTCAGCACAAATGGCTCTTAATTTAGGCTGAAGAGAGTCAAATTGCACACAGACAGATTAACGGCAACAACAGTGAGTGCCCGAGGATCTGTGATGTGGCTTCGCGTTGCGATTTCATTTACACTGTCTACTTCCTCAAGAGGCAGACATCGCTACCCTCATTGCAGATGAGGAAAAGGAGGCCCAGATTTTAAATGACTTGGCCAAAGTCCCATGGTCAACATCACCTGGGACTCTTGGGATCCTGAGATGGGGGTACCTGGCTCACCTAGTGTTTCACAGCTTGTGTTCCGCGAGCACTGCCCGCTGTCCCTGTCCAGGGAGGACAGCTGCTCGTCTGACTTGCTGAGCTTGCCGATGCTGCTGCAGGGGGACAGGCGGGGTGACTCTCCGCCATATGAGTGGCTGCCTCCCGACAGTCGCCTCTGTGCGTAACAGTCAACGTCAAAATCCTTGAGTGGAAAATCAGAACAAACCCAGGTCACTTCCGAGAAACGGGGGCAGGGAGCAGGGGTGAGGCCAGCGGTGCGTTTGCTCAGAGAGGGAGACACTGCCAAGCTCGAAAGCCTTTCTGATGTCAGCAAGAAAGCGACCTGCATGACGGAGAGGGCAGCCCCTGGGAGTGTCCGGGGTGTGTGACTGGGGGGGCCGTGGGGCAGGGCTGAGATGTCCCAGGAGACGCCCCTTTGGCTCCAGCCTCCCCACCCTGGCCCCCATCCCCTTACAGGAACCACCATGTTCTGGAGAGAGACGAATGGTGGGAGTGAGGTCTCCACCCAAGGGTGCCTCTTGATGAGACCGACACCAGGCTCTGAACCCAAAGCCCCTCCAGCCTTCCCCCACAGGGACCAGGGGCTGCATTACCTGCCTATTAATTCCAACAGGTAAACTGGAGCCACTGGTGGCTCGACTCATGGGGGCCACTACCGCCACTCGGGTAGGGGACGGCGCTGACTGTCTCTTCTTGGGCGGCAACGCTGGTGGAGGACTGAAACAAACCAAGACATCCAGGCAGGCCAAGTCACACTCGCAAGCTCTTCAGCACGATGTCAGGGTATGGGATGGGGGAGGGGTCTTTCACTACTACACTGTCCACACCCAACCTCCACCCCTCCACTCTTGCCAAAATAAAGCCTACAAATACCCAAAGAATGGAAAAGAACCACCCTTCCTTTTCTTTCATAATAAGTCACACCAGGTTTCATGGGGCTGAGCCCACAAGACAAGTCACTGGGAGGGCTCAGGGTGTGGTGGGGGATGGTGGGGGTCTCAGATGCCCTCAGGAGACACCCCCGAGGAAGACTGCATGCCAGGCTGCTGCAGATCAAGGTGCCAGGCTCCAGGATCTCACCCTCAAGGTGCCATCTCCCTTTCTCGCCCACTCCACCATCCACTCCTTGCGCTATGTCACAAAGAGAGGGTGCCGGATGAGCAGGAAGGTGGTTACCTATTGTCAACCACCCGGATGCCAGGCAGAGGGGGCTTGGGGGGTGCGACCTCTTCATCTGCGGCATCTGGGAGGAGTTCCGCTGATGGCGACATCCCAGTTGTCTTGTTCAGGATCTCCATCTCGCGGTCTGTCAGGGGGAGCTCGGACGGGCTGGAGAGGTGGAAAAGACTCGGGGTTACGGAAGATCGTAGATGGGACAGGGCACACATAGGTCTTGGGGAGGTGGAGAGTGACTGCGGCGGGGCATGATGGGCAGGGCGGGGCTGGAAGCAGGCGCCTGGACGCAGAGCCCTGGGGGTTCAAGTCCAGTTTGGTCACTAACAGACCACTAGGGCTTGGCCGTGGCCCTGACTCTGCACCTCAGTCCCCTCATCTGAAGATGGTCTAAAGGCTCCCTACAAGGTTCCAATTCTGTTTTTACCAGGTGCTTTGGTGTAGAAATTCAGACAAGCCATGAAAACTACCCATATGGCTCACAGTTTACTCTCCGGATCAAGCAAGAGTGCTCTCAGGTCAAATCTCCCAAATCCAAAGCCTTAGAAGCTCTTTCTAATTATGAAAAAGCACTGGTGTGCCGCTGGACATGGTAACACACCATACTCAAAAACAGTCATGTTGACACCTGTGTGGCACATACGTCACTTACCACAGAAAAGGAACAAGCCCTGGCAGCCTAGCTCATGTGCTGTCCATCAGCCAGGCTCCCATCCTTTGTCAAGTGTAGATGCTGCCACCAAACATCACCCTGCGATGGGAGGGTCAGTCAGCACTTACCCGTCAGGTTTGCCGGCCGGGGAACTGGGTTTCACAGGGCTCGTTGGGGATGGTCGCCCCTGCTTCTCGATGGTGAGTCTGACCAGTTCCTACTCCCACAAGAGAAAGGCAATGAGCAAAGCTTCCGTCACCACCGAGTTTCCACAGGAAGGCAGTTGGTGGGCCTGTCCTCTGCTGCTGAGCCTTGGGTCTGCGCTAGAGATTTCCCATCTACCATAAAGGCAAGTGTCATCTGCCTTAGGTAATCTGAAGGACTCCTTAGATATCCCCTGCCCTCCAAAAATACCTTCCTAGCATGTCAAGAGATTTCAAATGCATAAAGGCACTTCCTCTTGGAAGGGGAAACGGCAAACCCCACAGTCTCTAAATGACTAGGTTGATCGCACAAAGTAAATACGCGGTAGGACGGATTCCCGGTCAGCTTGTGGGGGAAGAACTATGCATCTAGTTCTCTAAAGGCACTGAATTCTGATGGCTTTGAGTGGTTTCCCCACATGTGCTGGGCAAGGAGGTCGTGTACTGGCTGCCCCAAGGGGACTGGGTAGGACTCTGGTCATTGGGGAGGGAGTTAAGGGCATGTTACCTGCAGAGAAATGATTTTAAAACCACTGAAATAGAAAAAAAGAAAGGAAGGAAAGAAGGAAAAAAGGCATTCTCAAATCATGGCAAAAAAACAAAAACAAGAGAAGTGATCAGGGCTTATTTGCTTTTTTTTTCCAATTAGAATGAACTTCCCCCAATTTGATGAGTTTTGACAGTTGCATGTACCCCTGTAGTACCACTAAAAGCATAGAGAATACTTCCATCACCCTTTCCAGCCAATCTGCACCCCCTAGCCATTTTCTTTTGTTATCCTAGATAAATTTTGCCTGTTCTAGAACTCGATGTAAACGGAGCCATAGAGTATGGACACTTTTGTGTTCCTCTTCTTATTAAACAGCTTTATGGATACATAATTTATATGCTGTAAAATTCACCCATTTAAAGTGTAAAATTTAGTGGTTTTTTTGTCTGTTCATAGAGCTTCACAACCAGCCACACAACCAATTTTAGGACTTTTGATCACTTCCAGAAGAAACTCTGCCCAGCTGCACTCCCTCCTCATTTCTCCCCAGCACCCACCCTGGCAGCTGCCAACCCATTTTCTGCCTTGGCAGCTTTGCCTGCTCTGTCCACCTTTCTCAGCATCAGTAGCCACGTTTTTGTGAGCATGAGGAGTTTGTTCCTTTTTATTGATGAGCAGTATTTCCATGGGTGGACAGACCACAATTTATCTACCCTCTTCCCTATCGACGGACATCAGGCTGAGGCTTCCTTGTGTCTGATGAGGGTTTTTAGGCTGTTTCTGAAGCTACAGAGGAGGTGGGAGTAGATGCTGGTGGGCAGCAGAGCACCAGCCTAAACCAGAGACTGCAAAGCCTCTCCAGACTCAGACAGCACCACACACAAAAACTGTAGCATGTGTTGCAAATGAAGCAAAGAGTTAGTTAACACTCTTGCCAGAGCAAGGGTACCACAGAAACCAGAAGAAAAGCTGAACACATCAAAACAAATATCAAACAAGAAATTCACAAACATAAATGCCAATGGTCAGTCATCATAAGAGATTCTCTAGCTTAGATAGCAATAAAATAGACACTTCCAGATGCGGTGGGTGGTGGGTGAGAGTATTGTTTCAGATAGCCTCTCCAGAGGATAACTTAAAAGTATATGTTAAAAGCCTTAAATATTTCCACTATTAAGAATTTTGTTCCCGAGGCGAGAGAATTACCTGAGCTCAGGGGTTCAAGACCAGCAGAGGCAACTTGGTGAGACCTCATCTCTACAATAAATCAAAAAAATAAGATGGGCATGGTAGTGCACATCTGTAGTTCCAGCTACTTGGAAGGCTGAGATGGAAGGATCACCTGAGCCCAGCAGGTCAAGGCTGAGGTGTCTGTGAGTGTGCCACTGCACTCCAGCTTGGGCAACAGAGTGAGACTCTGACTCAAAAAGAAAAAAAAAAAGAGCCGGGCTTGGTGGCTCAGCCTGTAATCCTGCACCTTTGGG